AATTGAAACAGAGTATGTTTGGCCTAGCAGTAGTACAAAATATTCCTTCTGCCCTAAAAAGCCCAGATTATTTAATAAACAAAACAAAACAAACATCAGAAAACCATATAGCAGAAATGCCCCTTCTATAGATATTGGACTTGTATAAACTCCATCAGCCAACTTTGCTGTAACTGGAGATTAGTAGCCTGTTACCAAGTGGCCTGAAGTTTAGTAGAGGGTACACAAATTTCTTGCTTGAGATTTGCCCAAAGTGCTGCTATTCTCACTGGAGGATAAAGGAGAGAATACAGCAAAGCATAGGAGACATTTAGCATCCACTTCATTGCCAAGTATAATGCTCTGCGTGAAAAGGTCAAATGTAATTTCATGTCAGGAACCAACAGAACAACTGAAACTCTTACCGCAACTCACCATTGCACTGAGCTGCTAAAGAAAAAAAAAAAAAAAGAAAAAAAGAAAAAGAACAGCTGTGGGCCTGAGCACCAACGTGGATGCCATAGAAGAGGAAGAAAGGGGAGCTTTAGGGACAGCATGTTTTAAATATGCCCTTACATTGTACCCCCAGGGCTAGGGGATAGATGACGCCTTATGTACTGCAGGAATAAGGTCCCTCATAAAAAACCCTGTGTCTCAGTCTGTAAGAGAAAGAAAATGAGGGGGGCACCCTGCACTGAGCTAGGGATGTTTCATCGTACGGTGCCAGCTGCTAGGCTCTTACAAAAGCAGCCCCACAGCCTGCAGGAGCCCCGCTTAGGTGCCTCCCCAACCTCCCACAGCACTGCAGCCTACCCAGACCAGCTCTGGAGAGAGCTTGGACAGCCACCCAACAGTTTGCCTTGTGGAATATAATAAATATATTTTCTAAAGAGCAAAAGCTGCTACTCGCCTGGCCCTTGGCATTGTAGTCTGTTAGAGGAAATGCAGGCGAACTGGAAGTCCCTTCCTTACTTACTGGCCTGGACCCTAGACACCATGGGAGTCCCTGGCCCAAACATGGGCAGCAGGACCTCTGCCTGCAGCCGTGCCTCAGCGTTGACGCAATGGTGTTGGATGCAATAGTTTTGCTTCAGAAACACCAGTGGTGCAAGAACTAATGGTGATTTTTCAGTTTCCATTACTGGGGACAAATAATGACATTATGAGAAGACAGTGGGGTAGTCTTTGAATACTTCAACAGCATTTATGGCAATCTTAAAAAAATGCAAGAAATTCAGTAATTAAATTGGTAGCGGGATAAGAGAAGCTTTCCTGTATACTACACATCACATTTCCCCAAAAGAAAGTATGCTGTTGGCCAAAACCTGTGGCCATTCTCAAGTGAAAATCCTCTGACTTCAGTGGAAATTATGCTTTAGAAAGGACTTTTAAATCTTGGCTCTTTGTATCTATTTAAGTATTATCTGGTTTTGCACCTGGAGAATAAACAACATATACCATCCTGTAAGTCAAGCTGTGGAATTTTTCCAAATAACTTATTAGCACAATGTCTCAATAAATCTCTCTGAAGGGAAGAACCTGTCATGGAATTACAAGTATAGTGTATGAAAAAGAAACAAGGCTGTAAAATGCAATAACAAAAAGCCTTTAAACCACCGTACATTAATGAGTTAAGGGATACTGGGAAAAGACTGAGATCAGTCCGAGGAGACAGCTTCCTTTCAATTCTGCAAATAACATCTCCTGCAATACCTTGAAAGCAAGAACAACAGCAACCATACCACAGCATGGAAAGGCAGTAGATTTAAGAACGTGGAGAAGGGAAGGGGAAAAAAACACAAATCAGAGCTGCTCATTAGGACAGAACTATGTTCATTCCTTGCCTGGGTGGGTTTTCTCTGCTTTCTTTTTCCATCAGCCTGTTTGTGGACGATGAACTAATACAATCCATCGCTAAAAATCCTGGTCCCACCAAACCTGTAAGTACTCCCCAGCAGGAGCAGGTATTGTGAGAGGAGACAGCTCAAACAGGGAACATGTCATCACAATTTTCCTTTAAGGTATTTTCATATTGGCATTTTCTTTGAGACACTTGGTGTTCACTAACTTTTTATCTACTTTCTCAATCCCCTATTGATTCATTTACACTAGCACAAAAGACAAAATTAATGGATTTTTTTGTTTGTTTTAATCCATGCTTTGGTGACATAAACACATTGGGCAACAATGATTGACCACTGACTCCCACAGAGACCTACATCGTTCAAGTGTACCTATATGGAGCTCACCATGCTATGAGACAACCAGAGCTTTCAATTATATGCTAAAGCATATGAGAGGCTCTCTATTTAGGGCTGCTTTTAAATGTCAGAGTCTGTGCCAAAACCCAGAAAAGACCCAGTTTAGTAAGCAGACTGCTTTTCCTGACCTTCCTTCCCAATTTCCCCACACCCAGACATTTCTATCACGGGGTTCACTGACAATCCACTGCAGTGTTTCAGCTCTGCTTTATGACAAGCACTTTTTTTTCTGGGCTCTGTTGTTATACTGATTCTTTCCTTATAGCTCCACTTGCCGTATGCCTCACAAGTGGAAGATCAGACAAACAGGGCTTGCTTATCTTTTTAAACTAAAAATGTCTGATGTAAAAAAAAAATGCGTGTCCTGACTTTCTCCTTCAGATGAGGTCCCACCAGCAAAAGTCATCAGGGTGGATCTATAGTAAAATCTCTGCAAGAAGTCCTGTCCCTTTGCCAGAAAGGAGTGGTCTATTCCTGTACTCAGACACGCTGCTTGCATAACCTTGGGTCGAGAAAGAAACAGGCTTTTAAAATGATAAAACACAGCTGGAATATTTAGACATAGGGAGATGATAAGGCCTGGATTTAGAGACGCATCTAAATACTGGTGTGGCTATCTGAGGCTCTTATCAGACCTTGATGTTTCATCCAGATCACGGCTGTAAAACAGAATTGTTGTCCTCTCATTGCTGCAGTAACAATCCTGGAAATACTCAGATCCAGTTCAAACTAAATCTATTTTTAATTTTTTCCTGTTATTTATAAAGTGTAATCATCCTCAGGTCCAACAGTCACCCTGAAACAGGGTGTTCAGTGATGAATTCTCCAAGCTCTTATCAGGTGTTTTGTGTTTCTTTTGAAATGTTGAGATTCCAAAGTGTTCGATACCTTGTCTTGGTATTAAGTAGTATAATTCACGCACATTTTTTCATTTGCCTATATGTCCTAGACAGTCCTCATCTGAAGCCTATGGGTACTAATAACCAGCAAAAAGCCATTAATATCAAAAGCGCTTTATTAGCTAGCAACACAGATAGATGGTGGGAGGCTATACACCGATGACTCTTTTAAAACTGGGAGTACTGTGGCAACGAGTGACTACATGAAAAGCCCAGTGCTGTGCGAAAGCAAAGCTGTGGCAAAGCTGGGACCAGTGCCCAGCTCTTCTTGCTACCGTTCCAGTCTTAACTTTGGTCCATTCAAATGTTTTCTGAAGGGTCACTTCTTTTTGTTGTTTGTGGCATAAAAAGCCCTCAGTCCCCTAAGTCCTGTAGCTGCTTCTGTACAACTGAAGAGTCCTTCTTTTAGTCCGTCTTGCACACCCATGCTGAGCTGGAGTCATGGATCCTCTTTGCAGTGTTTCTGCAGAAAATGGCAACAAAGAGGACAGATAACAGAGATACAGATGGAGGGCAAAAAGATGGCTCCCAAACATAAAGAAACACTTGTTGGCAGATCCTGTTCTCGGGAGGTCTTCATGGAAGAGCTCAGACTGAGAGTGAAACCACCATGCAAGGCATAGACAAAAGGCTCTGTGTTTTCATATACTTCATCTCCTTTTTTTTTTTTTTTTCTTTTGCTAGCTCAGCCCTTTAAAAGAGACTCAAAACAGTGGAAAGCTAAACCAAGGGTAAAACTTTGTATCAAAGGCAAACAGTTAATACAAAATGACAGTGAATTGGTTTAAAAATTGGCCATTGATAAAAAAGGAAATGATCTGTCAAGTGTGACTTTGAAGAAACACGGTTTTCCTTCTCCACTTTATTTCATTTTATGCCATAGAGTTTGCGTGGTCTAACAAATGAAATTGGTATGAACCATGCCAAACTTGAACCAAAAACCCTAGGGCTCAGACACATGCTAAATCACCACAGCTTGATATATTGCCATTTACTGGCTGAAACTGTGACAAATGCAGAATAATCTGGCCCTTTTTCTCAGAGAAGGCTGTACCCTGTACTTGCTGCAGGTGATGAAGGTGAATATTGGCATTTCCCGTGGCTCAGCTGGTGCGTGGGACCTTGCTCACGGGTCTCGCACACTCCTGTGTTTCCCCTGATTCCCAAATCGAAACTTTTTCTAACACCTCCAGACAACAATGATCTTGTGCAAAAACAAATCATTTTGGCTGGTGCGACTAGACAGCCTCAGACCAAAAGCAAGACAAGTACTTTAAGCGTTGCATATCCAGGGAACACAGGGAAGAATGTCTTTGCATCCCTCTTCACTAGACTAAGAGTCACCTCTGCTTATTTTGTTTCTATCTACATTACTGCAAGTAACTCTAACAATACTGGTAAAAGCTGCCCTTAACTGGTAGGATCATTTCCTATGAACTGCACGTTGGACAAACCCACTGTACGATATAGAATCTTGTCTAAATGAACATATTTATTTTGTAGCTTTTAAATCAGTTTTATTTACAACAGGTCTTAGAGTACAGCTCACACGCAGTAGTTAAGCTCTGGCAGTACCGATGTCAGGTCACTAACACATTTGCAAATTACATTTCTAAGTCATAGAAAATGAAAGAAAAAATGACTTTAAAATAACTGTTTTATCTTCGGGTATAAGGATCACAGAACAAATTTGCAGGTGGCTGTAAAACCCAGCCAAGGGCACTCCCCAGGGAGCCCCGGCGCTGCCAGCACGCCGAGCGCTGCGATGCAGGGACACAAGCAGTGGCGAATGGTCTGATGCACGCACGGCTGCGCAGCTCATTTACTCTCTGTGAGGGGGCTGGAGGCAGCTCCACGCTCTTTAATGGCCCCATTCCTCTTCCCTTTCACTAATTCCCTCTTCTTCCTCTGGAAACGCTGAATCACTCTGACTCTTCAGATGCTTAATCCCTGAAAATATAGAAGTCTTGGTTAAAGTTATGTTAGCTTGTGTTGGACATTTTCTTCCTGAAGGAAGAAACAAACAAAAAACCAAGCTCATGGAATGGGTTTTTTTAAAGTCCATACTGACTCCCTTTTTCATAAACCTCTTAGTTCAAACAGTGCTAGGGTGTATTACCAACAGAAATATTCTCTTCCTTGAATATAGGCTCTTAGGAATTTTATCATGTTTTGTTGGAAAAACTGCTGAAAGGCACCTTGGAGAACAGAAGAGTATTTGCATCTCTTTTTTCCTTGGTGATCTTTGATCAGATTAGTATTGCCCATCTCAAATAAGTTAAAACTTTTCAAGGCTCAGACAGTAGACATGGGAATTATTCTGCCAGAATTTCAACTTGAGCCTCTTTCTGAGATTGATCCGCTGAAGGTCATTGCTCACACGGACCCAGTGCCCCATGGTCACAGCTTCCCATGTGCACCAGAGATGTTCGCCAACGTGTGTCCCCATAGGCTGTACACGACCTACAGAGCAAAGAGAGCATCGCACCTAACAGAGAGGGAACTGCCGGAGCCAAAGCAGTGACAAAGTTGAATCATTTCGCACATGGAGAGTGTATTCTGTTGACCTTTAAATACCATGCGGGGCTGGATGAAAAGGGTAAATACATATCACAGGATATTTGGAAGTTTAGTTTTGAAGAAAGTTGTGAAGTCCCTGCTGCTGGGTGGTTTCAGCCAGCAAGTGAAATAGGCTCTATGAAAATTAATCAAATTGCAAAGTTATTTTCCCTGTCCCGTGTTCAGTACAAGCAAACAGGCCTCAATGAATGGGCCTAATCCCATCTTCTCAGCTCCACCTTGGTGTGACAGAAGAATTCAAGCTAAAAAAAGAGGCAAAATCAAGCTAAAAAGATGACAGGGAAGAGAGACCAGAGAACAGGGGTTGTTATTTTCAAAAAATCTAAACAGCAAATGCACAAGATTAGTTTCTGGGTCCCCTAGTTTTTAACAAAAACAGTCATAGTGGGAACATAACTGTTAGTCAAAAATGTGTGATTTCAACAAAATGTAAGCCTGAATTAAGTTTTCTGGTGTCATTACTGCCATAACATGAAAATATTTTTGACTTCGTTACAGATCATACATAGTTCTACTCACTATTTCTAACTGTCAGAAAAAAAGCTTCACTTATGCATCAGTTGCTCTGTTTGTTGAGGAGAAATTGCACCCCCGTTGCTTAGATAACCACAGCTGGATAATCAAACACCCCACTGTCATGCACTTGCAGAGGCACAATTTTCAGAAAGGGGTGCACCCTCAAGGCATACAGGGCAAGATCCAGATTACCTCAAATTGTGAGGAAGAGGAATTGCTGCTTTTTTACAAATAGCTGAAAACAGGATCTTACAATGGGTCTTACAACAGAAGCTCAGCCTGCTCCACTTCCAACAGGAGCCCATCACTGCTCAGTGCTGGGCTCTGGGCTCCTCTCTTTTTCTTTTCTCCACACAGTACCTGGTTCCCTGGGAAACTGTTTCTCAGACGTAAAACAAGCAAATAAATTAATGCTCCCAAGCCACAGTACTTGTAAGTCTGCCCTGCAATAATCAAACCATTTCCAATTAAGTAACTATGATACATGAAGAAACACTCTAGGCTGCTCAGCTACCACCAAGCTGGCCTCTTTAGCAACGCTCTTTAGTAAGACAAACACCTTAAACGTGATTTCACCTAACTATATATTAATGGACATTCATTTCAAAATGATATTGTGTTTGTAGGGCAAATTTGTCTCCTGTTGTTTATCTCTGGACTTACAGAGCCATTTCTTTCACATTCGCAGTACCCATCTAACAGCTACTATTCAGTACTTCAAACAGGAATTTCTAAGAGCCTGGATGTATCACTTTTTAGGAAGTTTTTCAAAGATGAAAAGGGAAAGTTATGGACAGAGAAGAGGGCGTGTGATATACAGTTAGTATGGTAAAGCTTCATGGAATGGTATTTTTAGTAAGAGTGAAGACTTTTGGCTGTGTGGTTTAATTGCAATATTCAATGTGAAAATTGCAGGAAATGGAAAGGAATGACATCAGTGAGTGTTACCCATTGATTTTCACGTAGCAGGCAACTATCAATCTTATTTAATGATTTTTTCACAACCTCCGTTCTACAGCCTGCCTTCACTTCTGCCAGTCATTAAATGCTGCAGTGTCATTTGGAAGTAAAGACTCACAGGGTTTTCTACACTGACCAATAAGTGCACAAGACTTGATGTCATTATTCATAAGCCTCAAGATGTTCTGACAACATCAGGTTGTCAGAATTAACTGACACTATATGTAGCATTATGAAATAAGACATTCAGCTACACAACGAAATAAATTAGAATGAATCGACGTGCAGGTGATGAAATTCCTGTCAGTAACATATGAACACGCATGACAGAAAAAGCTGGTGGCTTTCCTGAAAAGATACATTTCATGCACCAAGCGTCAGACTTTTACAGTGCAAAAAAAGTCTGGGGTAATAAAAATACTTAGTTAAATGATAGCAATCATACTCTTAGATTAAAAGCGTATCTAGCCACATAACATTGCAGTAACCCACAGTGGCTGCCAAGGGAGGTCAGAAGCCGTTGGAGCTGGGGATGCCCAGGAGCACACTGGCACATTCATCCACAGCTCCTGCTCAGCTAAAACAATTCAAGAGAAGAGGCCGTTACAGTGGCTCTTGCGTGTCCCTCCAGCAGGGTTATTCAAGCTGTGTGCCCTACCCTTTGTCAATAGGAAGCAAGTGGTGAGCAGGTAGTGAGGTGGAGCTCTATCCACAGACATTTTTTTGTAAACAAGTTGGACCGTTGGATCTATTCATACCCAGTATCTTTGTTTAGCAATATCTAAATTGTTTGCTGAAAGGTTATATTCTGGCTAGAGATAGAGTGAAAACTTATTACTCAGGTCACTCCAACCATTTTTACAACTGTTACTATGGTAACATTAATTTATTAGAAAGGATATTTCCTACTCTTCTTTTCAATCTTCATACACCAGTAACACAGTTCATGCCCTCAGCTTTCTTAAATAGTAATCAAGAGGCACCAGAATGCTGCTGTTTGGGGTTTGTTTCTATTCATTGATAAAGCACTGTAGTAAAGATGAGCAACAAATATAGACTCTATGATTTTACTCATAGAAAAAAACCAAAACAAAACCAGGACATTTGGGGGGGGATATATAGGGGATATTTTAGAAGATACTCTTTGTACATACAGCAGATCCAAGTTCAAAACATCAAGTTACTGGTTCCACGTAAACTACACAAGCTTCATAATTTTAGTTGCAAACAGGGAGGACTGCAAATGCTGATCCACAGAGCCACCCTGTCTCAGCAGTGTCTCTTATTCCAGGCAGTGGGTAACGCTGAATTTGTGGGCACCCTCACTCTCCTGAAGCACTGTGCCTGCACCGTCCTGATGCCATTGCATTTTCTCTCACTGCTCTGCCCCCCAGCCCAGGTTGCCCTGCCCTGCTCTCCCCCTGTGTGCGGAGGTAGCTCATGGGGTCCGAGCCGCCCCGCTGACTCTGCCAGTCGCCAGTCCCCACTGGCCTTTCTGCCTGGGGATGGGGCTCTGCGCCCGACCCGACTGCTGCTCTGCAACTTCACACCCTGGCTGGGGCTTTGCCCTTCGCCCAGGAGGTCTGACAGCAAAAACCCCCTTCCAGCCCGAAGGCTGCCCCTTCTCGCCACTCCCTGACAGCGATTTCATACCCACGGGTTCTTCAAACTCTATACTCTGCCTTAAAACAAAGCCTGTCTGAACACTGCCTCTTGGTTTCTTTTTCCCTCCCCCCCCCCCCCCCCCCCTTCTCCTCGGCCACTTCTGAAGTCAGCAGGACAAGAATTGTTTTTCCTCAAAGGGCTCATATTTCACTGCAGGTAATTCAATCCAATTAATGCTGATGAAGAAACCCTTAATGCTAAGCCATATTCAGCAGCCGTGCACTAGTACACTTTGAACTGGTAATTCTTTTTAGATGAAGTCACTGCCTCAAAGCATATTTCTAGATTACTTATAAATTATGAGTGCAAATGGGACAACTTTCTGGCATTTTTGCGGTCACATAATAACATCTATGCTGTTTATTCAACAGCTGTCTTTTTGCTTCTCTCCATCTGACCAAAGCACCAGATTAGAAAGCTAAGCAGTGTCACAAGATATGAAATAACCAAGTGTTCCTGAATTAAATATCTCCTGGAAAAAAAAAAATGATTCGAGTAATTAAGGCAGCTCCCCATCTCAAGTAATTAAGGCAGTTCCCCATCCTATTTAACACTTCCTTCATGCCACTTCACTGCCCAAGGAACAGTGTTGACATTTACCAAACTCGGGATTGAAGTCTGGTTGGCAATTTGAATTCCCTAAAGTTTGAAGGATTATTTAGATTTATGATTTGGAGCTGATCCTCTCTCTATCAAAAACACATTTCCAGATTTTCAGAAAGCAGCGAAAGGCAAAGCTGAGCCACAGACAAAGGAGCCTGATTTTCAGAGTTTCAGAACTCAAGTCACTTTGAAATTATCAAGCAAACAAACCTGACCAAAGAGGATAATGGCCAAACAAAAATATCTACTTTATGCCAATCCTAAATGAAATATGTTCTGGTTCCATCAGCAAAAATGAGAATATCAAAACAAAAATCATGTATTCATGCCACTAAACAGCAAAAATCACTTTTCTTTTTTCTGGAACATTTTGTTTTGAATTTATCAGTCAAATACATTTTGACTTCTCTGAAACTCCTCCCTCATTTTTTTTCCCCAACTGAAATGAATTTTTGAATTAAAAAAACAACAGAAAAAACCCAAAACTAATGTAATGAAAAACAACATCCACCACAGGTCTTTGGCTAAGTTGGATGCAGTGGGAGGCAGATGTGACAGTGACAGAGCCCGGAAGAGCTGGCAGGTCTTCAGTGGCAGCCTCCTCCAAGCACAGGAGTGGCCCATAC